TTTCGTTACTTATTCTAGTTACTTAAGTAGTATTTTCTTTTTCTTTTTTTTCTCTTGCTCATTCTCTTTTATGAATATAATTTATTTACACTCTTTCCCTATAATTCCTTATTCTGGTTTCATTCTCTTTTAAAATTACCAAATCCACCATCGCGGTCCCTCGACCCGCAGCTGAAGGAGGGAAAATTGTGGCTGCAGCTTCCTCTCGTCCTTTACCGGCCGGTTGGTCCTGACCTGTTGATTGTTCCCCAATCCTCCGCCTTCTTCTTATACTACTTAATACCTGCTAGTATTGCTGCTACTGCTGGTCTTCCCTCCCAGTCCCCGCCTGACGACCTTGCCTCTTTTTGTCTTTCTACTTTTTCTTCCTTCTCCTCTATACTCCTTTCGGCTTGACGCAGGGACATCAGAGAGAAAAAAAAAAAAAAAAGAAAAGGGAAAAGCAAAATAAAAAAGAATTTCTTTTACTTTACTGACTTGCCCTCCACCGTTTTCTCGTATCCCCCACGTGTGTATCTCTGCTGCTCTTCACTGGGGCTGCGGCTCGAGGTTATTTTTGGACGCCGCATTTACTGAGCCAACCGTGGGCTGTAATTTCTGGCCTCCGATCAGATTGGGTTTATCATCTTCTGCTCTTACTTCTTATAATATCCCGGCCTGGCCCATCTCCGCATCTGGTCTCTCCCCTCCCACCCCATCTTTCTTCCTGTCAACTGTCACTATTCCTATTACTGCTTCTCCTCCTTGCCTGAGACAGTCACTGTGCTCAAGCTTTGACTCTATTGTGATTGTTTCATCGCTTCGTCTTTGACCCTACCGCAACTCTCTCTGTTCTCTCCCTCGATCCCACCGTCTCGTTAGCCTTCATCGTCGCCATGGCTGGTCCCGGTGGTGGCCCTCCTCGCAAGAGCCACACCAAGTCTCGCTTCGGCTGCAAGACATGCAAGCGGCGGCACATCCGCTGTGACGAAACTTTCCCACAATGGTATGTTTATCTATTGTTTGCTTGCCTTCTGCAGACTGCAGCTGCGTGGAATCGCCGCTGACCATCACAGCCGGAACTGCACCAAGCACAACTGTCGCTGCGACTACATGGATGTTGCCACGGTCCACGACGACGCATCCTCTATGCGCAACGTACCCGACCTGCTCATGTCCGCCGAAATCGAAATGGAGATCAAAAACTGGCAGTTCACCGGCGTGGCTCCGTTTGCTGAGCTGCTGCAGTTCCCGCGTACCTGCTGGACGAAGCTCTCGCTGACTGATCTGCGCCTGATTCATCACATTGTTGGTCTGTCTATTGATCTCCAGCGACGCGGTCTCGCTAGCTGCACCATTTGGGCGCAGAAGATGCCTACGTAAGTGCGGGCTTAGCAGAAGTATGACGAATTTGCTGACGTTGGGTCTAGTTTCCTCGCTATTGCCATCTCTAATGACTTTGTTATGAGCGCCATTCTGACCATGTCCGCCTCCCATCTCGCCTGGATCACCCGCAATCAGGAGACGAAACAACTTGCCTACCACCACCGCGGTGTTGCTATCCAGGGCCTGCATAATGCCCTGGGGGCGTTTTCGAAGGACAACTGCGATGCAATTCTGGCTGCCTCGATTATCTTGTCGTGGCATGCGTCGGAGTGGCAGAGCTGGGCGTCTTTGCAGCAGGGTCTTACAACGGTAAGCATCTTTATTTTGTACGCTGATGGCGAGACTGACCCGAAGCAGGTATTGGGTTCCATGCATCCGATGTGGAAGCAAGAGTCCGAGTTGGCTATGTTTCTGGAAAATCAGCGGTACCTGGGGTGCACCAACACTCCCGTCATGTCGGGCTACCAGTTCCAAGACGAAGATCTGGCCAGCCTCGACCAAACAGTCGTGGCACTCCAGGCCCTGCAGAAGCGGGTTGCACATAACCATGAGCACTACCGCCGCATCGGGGAACTGCTAGAGTTTGTACGACACTTCCAACGAGACCTCCTCTCTCAAACTCCCGAACAGGCCTTTGAGCGCATGCAGCCGCTACGGAGATGGCTGTTCTGGCTTCCGCCTGCCATGTTGCGACCTGAAGATGCCGACATCGGGTCGCTAGCCATCCTGGCCCAGTTCTTCGGGGTTGGTGTGGTCCTCGACAGCCTCTTTCCGGACTTGGGCGGTGCCTACCTGGGCCCGCTCTCCATCAGCCCGATCGAAGAGATATACCGCATGGTAGTTGCTCGAAGCACTGCCGATCCTTTCCACCCCGATGCACACCTCGCATTATCTGCCATGGACCTTCCCCGTCATATCGTCGCCAAGTACAAAAGCCGGCTTCAGTGGTCTCCGCGCACCTCCCTTGACCACTACTCTCCTGCACCTCCCAGTCCGTATCACAGCCTCCACGATTACCGCCTCGCTTCGTCCTCTCCGTCTTCCGCCTCCGCCACGTACGCCCCTTACACCCCGCCTCTGCAGTCCCCTCCCGAAGTGACCATCGCCAGCCCCCCGTTTGACGTCAGCGGAGCCTATGTGACGGCACCGGCGTCGCAGGCCCTGTATCCGAGCTCCCCACGGCTGCTCTCGGACCCTCGTGACGATCTCTCGGACTACAGCCACGCGGGATCTCTGCAGCACTCCCCTGCGTTTCCGCCCCCATATCTTGGCGACGTGGTGTGCGGGGGACTGCCACGGGTGAACAATGGCGGGCTGGGGCTAAACATGCAGCTGTACGAAGAAACTCCGGTGATGGTTGGGGGTTACAACACGGCACCCGAGAGGGGATGGCACTAGGAGAACCTTGGAGTGATTTCAATTCTTTTCCTATGTTTTAATTTTATCATCATTAGCTATGGAGCGGATACGGAAAACGGCATAAAGCGGGATCAGATGAATTGGGATAGGACCGCCAGGGTGTTTTGGTTTGGATTTTCTTTTTCTTTTGTCTTGGATTTTTACTTGGGATGGGCGAAATAGAGGGATGGGATTGGAAACTGAAGCTGCCTGCTTGGCTGGTTGGTTGCTTATTTTCGTACGCTAGCGATATGAGTGATTATTTTGATCTGCATGCATGCATGACTGACTGAACTGTTTGGTTGGTTGATTTGATTTGATACTTGTTTCTCATGATACGCTGAAGTGCGTGGGATGATGTTCCTAATTTGATGTGACGAATAACCGATACGGTATATACCCAAACTGATGATGAACCACTCTCGAGATCGACTCGACTCTGCAATGCCAAGAAAGAAATAATAATAGTTGTAGCTGAAACAACGACAGTTTCACCACTTATCTAAGCGACAGATCGTATGCATGATCACCGTGCCCGACGTCCTAGCATGAACTAAGTGAGTATTCAAGTATGTTGAGTAAGGATGGTTAGTAGTATCTTTCTAATCAAAGTAACATCCCACCCATATGTTACTAAGGTACTCCCTGTTTCATCCCACCGATCATACCAGCTGAACTAACCCTTATATAGGCTAGTGAATAATTATGTATATAGTCCTCCAATTAATATACAAGGATTATAATCTCACCCCCTCCCCCTGTAGATACTAGTAGTTACTCCGTAATGATGAAGAAAGATTGTCGAGGACGGAGTGAGTGAGTGATCTACACGGCCCCCATGCAACACGTGTTTCTGGTGCTTTCTAGCGCTGGGACTAAGCATGGGGGTTTCTGACCCCTCCTCCCTCCCTAGCTTGTACTAAACCTGACTAAGTACTCTGGATTAGGAAGGTAAGAATTATTTTAAATTGGTTGGGATGAGTAGGGATGAGGATGAGGATGTGTGTGCATGACCAGGATGGATGGATGTCTGTGCAAATTTACTTGGCGAAAGTATGGGTGATGTGGTGGTGTAATGTGACCTGACCAGACTAAATTAGGAGATTTTAAATAGTAATAATGATTATACTTAAGGGAAAATCCAACAGGGTTTGAGCTGAAACCAACAGTTACTATTTATTTATTAATCTATATTATAGTGGTGGTGGTGGTGGTGGTGGTGGTGATTGAGGTGCGGATTGACCCCCTCCCACGTTTTTTCTTCTCCGTCTTCCGTCTTCCGTTCTTTTTTAGTCGGGTTAGGCTGTCAGCAGCTATGTACTTACTTAGTTAGTTCGGTATTTATTAGGTGGTTATTTGTTTGGCCACGTGTGTCTTAGTCTGGTCTATCCCGTAATCTAGTCTAGTCTAGTCTAGTCGACTAAGTAGACTAACGTGTATCTCGGCTAGTTTGTTAGTTGTTTAGGTGCTCGCTTATGACGTCTATGTTTGGTTCTCTTAGTCAGTCAATCTTGGTGATTTGCTTATCTGCTTGGCGGGTTTGTCTCTTGTCTTAGAAGTAATCTGCTATTATTGAGTGGAGCTGAGTAGTATCTGGTAGTGTCTGGAATGGGGTACTACTACTACTACTAGTACTAGTACTATGGCTGAGGCCTCGGGGTATTTCCGGATCGTAGGCGGGTTAGTCAATTAGTTACTGAGTAAGTCGTTGCTAGGGAATTCTTGTGCTAGTGAGTGATGCTGATTCAGGTGTTGTATGTGTGGTCTGTGTGTAAATGAGTCATCGCTGAATTACTTGCCATGTTTAGATCATGTAGGATGTTTTGTTGGGAGTTGACTATGTCTGAATGGATGGTGATATTAGGCCTACACTGCAAGGCTGTGGATGTTGTATGTCGTGATCAGACATGTAGGTGAGGCTTTGCTGTCGCGCTTTGATGCGCGTTTTTTTCTGCTTAGCTAGTGATCAAGATTTGTTGGTTCCCGGTCCTTTTCCTGAGTCATGACAGCGGGAGTAGGCTGTGCTGTGCTGTGTTGGACATCTGAAACGACGTCAAAGCTTTAGATGAGGGGTACTGCGGGATTATCTATCCTTCTGCTATGGCAATCAGATATCATATTGGGCGATGAAATCCTTCCGTAGCTAGTCAAAAGTGACACGCACTATAATAGTCAGTTCCTAGCTATGTTGGAAATCCATTCAGATATCTGTAGATACAACACTGGTGCCTGGTCGATCATTCCTGCACTGGCTGATCGTGTTGCTCGTCGAAAATGTCGAAGTCAACGTGGTGTTTCGGATCGAGGTAGCGGACTTCTCCTTTCTTTTTTGATATGTGGGACATCCTTGACATGTCCTCATCGGGTAACTGTGTTAGGTCGAGGTTCTCTACCATTCTGCTCTCCTGGACAGTCTTGGGAGTGACGGATATGTCTTGTTGGACGATCCAGGATAGTATGGTTTGGGCTGGCGAAAGCCCATTCTTTGCCGCTATTTTGGCTATCTTGTAGCTATTAGTCTCAGTAATGGTCACATGCATTTGAAGGATCTACATCTGGATCGCTCAACGGACCTGGTTCACAGCTGCTACTGGTTTGCCGCCGAGTGGTTGGCGAGCAGCTACGTGGATGCTGTTGATTTTGCAAAAGTCCACAAGCTCAACTTGGGGTACATATGTAGCGGGCCTTAAGTCAATCTAAACGCACACAGTAGGACAGCTCGAGTACGTACGGGTGAAGTTCGATCTGATTGACTGCAGGAGGAATTCTAGATGATTCGACAAGTCTCTTCAGCTTTAGGATATTGATGTTGGAGACCCTTAATCAACATGAGTGTTTGCATGCCATGTCAAGAGGTGCAGGCCTACCAATTATTTTTGCATTTCCCTTATCGACCAGTATCTCCATGGCTGTCCAGGTCGATGGATAATCTCTCGACAGTTCATGGTCAAGTGAGAGAACCTTAGTACACCGTAGTATGATATGGGTATACTCAAGGTATCTACCTTTTCATGAGGATGACGGATTGTATTGTATCCAGTCAAGAACTGTATGCATGGGGAACTAGAAATCAGTCAGTAATTATCGTGTGGAAGTGACCTCTGTCGTATAATGCATCAGATAAAAATCGACTATCCATCAAGAAGTCAGCCACATGCCCTGATGTACTGTGCAGCTGCTGCGTAGACAAACCATAGTCCAATTGCAGCCTCTCTAAGCTGAGGTCGAGGGCTCTCGACGTCGGAAACACGGTGCCATGTCTGAGCTCTGAACAGAGAGTCAGTTCTCGGTTGCAGCCACAAGCGCAGGTGCTTACAGCTTAGTGGTAATAATTATCTCCTCCAGAGATATCTCGCTCTTCTTGATGACCTCACCAACCTCCCTCTCATTTCCATAAGCAATAGCGGTGTCTGTGTGTCTGTAGCCGAAGCGCAGTGCTTGTAGAACACCCTGCTTTACGTTTCCGTTGCCATCATCACTTTGAAAGGTGCCGAGGCCGACAGCTGGGAATGCAAATGTCAGAGATGAAAAGGGATGCGGGTGGCATGATCTTTGAATATGCTGAGAGGGAAGGAGAATGACAAAGAAACAAACTCAAGGATGCAGGAAGTACCCCGCCCAAGTACCCCATCCACCGACAGGGGTGCTGCTAATCTCCACTCCGTGGGCGCTTATCCTTTCGACTTACATGTCTGCTTATCTGTAGTACTATACTAATCAGGTGCATGCCATAAGTGAAGATATATTCGTCGAGCATATCTCTTCTAATGAACAAGCAAAGTTCCGCGCATTGTTCCGATACTTACAAGAAGCCCAGGGAAATATAGAACAAACGTCATGACAAGACTGAGCTATTGCGGACAAAAAGATATACATGCCTTGATGTAAGGTGCAGATGTTCGCAACCAAACTATGATAACTGGCCTAAGTCACCTTAGATGCTGTCACAGAGCATCCTGGCATACTCCTCGTAGCCTCCCGGGTACTTTGCAACCAAATGTCTCATTTCTTCAATTACCCTGGTGGATGATTAGCGACTTAGGGACCAATTAGAATTGAACTGGACTTACGAGTTTCGAAAGCTAGCATCCTCGGGGAAGAGGGCCGCGGCTTGTAGATTAAAACGCCTGTTCCGAATAAGAACTCCTTCAAAAAAAATAGGTTGGATGGGTTCTTACAATGAATACAGCGCAATCCGGTCATTGTAGTCTTCTGTTGGGGCAGTCTTTGGAATAATTGAATGATAGGCATCAAAGAAGCTTCTGTCAAACCCATTTCGCTCAGGACGCCAATTGCCCAACTCGTCTGCAGGAACACGTTAGTGAAACTCAAAACTAGACTTACAAATAGCACATACACTCATTGTGCGCATAAAAGCTCGCAGGATCATATATAAGCGGCCGCCCTGTGGCTGAATCGACTGCGACATTTCCGCACCACAGGTCTCCATGGACGAGGGATGGCTTAATGGACCGCCCTCCTGTTTCCATTGGCCTTAACAAGCGGGGGATCACTTTGTCAATCATAGCAGTGTCTAGGCCTTCCAGCTCAGGCCACGGCCCACCACGTTCTATGTTCATATTTACCATGTGCCTAAATCCGATCGGGAAGAATTCCTCCCACGTGTCAATGTAGCCATTCTCCTGAGGCAGGTCGCCGTTGTATGTCACAAGGTGAAACCCGAATTTGCCGCTTGGCGAATCGCTCCTCGAATGGAGAAAGGCGATATTCTGGCAAAACTCTGCTGGTTTAGGAGCATGTTCCGCAAAGTCGTAGAAACGACAGAGATAATAATGTGCACCTGAAAGAGCTTTGATGGATCCCCATTTGATTGGCCTGGGAGTGAAGCTTCCAACTATGCTATGGATTGCCAAAGTAGATTCGAATTCTCCCTTGAGGGCTTCCCTGCCATGATCCCCAAATGATATCTGCCAAGAGCCTGTTTAGTAGAGCATAAGATGCGGGGTGTCCTCCAAAGTGTGTAAACATCGTAGAGGAGTTACTTTCATGAAATAGCTATCTGTGTGTTCCTGGGCCTCGACATCAATCCGATATCTCTGAGCCCAGGCCGAAGAACCAAGGCTAACGACTTTCAACGGTCGACGGAACAAAGCAAGTTCTGTTATTACTTTTGTTATTATCCAAACTTAGGGTGCAGATACGTCGCCAACACATTCATACCCAATAAAACAACATGGTCAATGATCCTTTTCTTCGAAATGCCGTCCGCCACAATTACTGGGGAGACTGGAAACGAGAATGCTTGACCATCGCACTGCGACATGATGCTGCAAATTGAGAATGAGCCTGTATGAGGCAGATGCAGCCGATGCGCGATGTCGTTGAACTGATGTGGGACTGTCATAACCTTTGAAAGCAAAGGAATGATTACCCCGCCGTGGTTGCCGTGTTCAACGAGCAGGGGTGTGATGGTGCCAAGTTCCACCGGGGAGCCCACTTGCCTAGCCCTTACACATCCTCTTCCAAAGGATTTCGTTTCAATACACCTATGACTGGGATTAGTAGATAACGCGGTGACAAAGCAATACTTATTAAGGAACTACACTGACATCACTCCAATATTATAACGTTGGATCGCCCCCTTCAAAAGGTGAAGAAAGCGCATGGATATCTGCAGAACAACATAATGGCAGCTAGTTATGTCGACAGTACACAAAATGTCTGCGGAATGCTTTCCCACGGCCTCCTTCCTTACTCCTCGGTTAACATCAACCATTCAAACTGGCTTGACAGAAATCAATAACACTTGAGGCTGGCAAAGAGTCGATCTACGAATCATACACTGCGCAGTGTGTCGCGCTGCATCCTATAGCCGCTCAGCCTGCATGAGTGCGATAGCACGGCGGGCAGCGCTTAACCGAGACATACGACTGGCTCGCGCCACGAGTATCCATTCGCTGCGCGCAGAATCTCAAAATAGCCCAATGCAGGGAGTCGTAAGCGAGCAGCTCCCAGTGAGGGGCACTGGTGATGGAATGTTTGAAGTTTTTATCACTTACCAGCACCTGGCACCCCTGTTGTTTAATTATTTAGACGTCGAGACAGAAGTCCGACGATATTGACATGCTTTTTTAATGGATAAGGTTGGCCTTGCAACTTTGAAAATCCAAAAAGCAGACGCTGAAACGAAACAGTCCGGAGGGAATGACACTACGGCGGATAGTTGTGGCTGGTTCAGGAGGTCGTTCGGCAGGCTCCGTATCGATCGAAGATCCAATGTTGCTCGAAGGCATACTGCTCTTAATGACAAGCCCTTACCTGAGAGTGAAGACTTCAAAGGACCTCTAGGTCTTCAACTGCTTCGCACCGTTTCAGAACCGCTCGTCGACTTTATCTTTATCCACGGCCTCGGAGGAGGGTCTAGAAAAACATGGTCCAATCACCAGACCCCTACCATTGTTGGCCCAAAGAATGATTATCTCAAGACCCCGAATTTGACCAAGTCCGTATATATAGCTTTGGATATAAAGCTGATTGGGCCGAAAAAACGGCCAGTGTTTTGAACATCCATGACTTTGCGCTGTCCTTGTTAGGAGAAATCAAATGCAATCCAGATATTCGTCGAAGCAATGTGAGTCATGCTCCTATCTCTATACTTACTTCCAACTGACAAATTAAAGACAAAATTGGTACTTGTGGCACATAGTATGGGCGGGCTGGTTGCGAAAAAGGTAGACCATTCCATGTCTAGTTCCGTCCGCTTCTGGGCTCACCATCCCACATGCATATATTCTCGCTCGAGAGGACCCTACTCTGAAGGAGATTGCAGCGCGAATGCATACATTATACTTTCTCGCCACACCTCACCGGGGCTCCGACCTTGCAACGACTCTCGCAAATGTTCTCAGGGTGTCCTTTGGGCCCAAGCCGTTTGTCCTAGAGCTAGAACGAAATTCCGACTCAATCCAGTCTATAAATGACAGTTTTCGACATGTTGCGGATTACTTGCACATATGGTCCTTCTACGAGACTCTTCCGTGCAGTTTCAAGTTGACAAGCGCTATTATTGTTGACAAAACCTCAGCCACTCTAGGTTATTCAAGGGAGCGATGCTCACTTCTGAACGCGGACCATAGGGGCGTGTGCAAATTTGACAGTCCTGCAGACCCAAATTATAAGACAGTACGGAATGCTTTTGTCACTACCATTGATTCCATTGTTTCTCAGGGTCAGTGGCTTCCGCCGTCATACATGCCGAGGTTATTCTTACCATTACTATCATAGATTCCAAGAATGCGAAGGCGGCCTTGGAGAAGCTGTCCAAACTGACTGGCATCAGTGATGCTCCAGATAATGACCGTTTGGCGCTGGACGAGCTGCGGGCTACCGGAACCTGTGAATGGCTGACAATGAGGAAGCAATATGCTTCGTGGAAATTGGGAGACTCCGATCGGGCCATCTTCTGGCTCACGGGTAATGCTGGCACAGGGAAATCAGTCATTTCGAGCTCTATAATCGATGACTGCGTGAAAAGCAATTTTCGATGCAGTTATTTCTTCTTCAAGCATGGCGATCGAGATAAGTCTACAATCACTAAGTGTCTCTTATCACTTGCCTTTCAAATGTGTCGAATGGATAAGAAGATCCTTGGACAACTTACCAAGGTCTCACCCGATTCTAGCACATGGGAGCAATTGGACGAGCGAACATTGTGGCGTGAGATATTCCTAGAGTTCATCTTCAAAGAGGTGAAGCCTACTTCATGCTACTGGGTCATTGATGCTCTCGACGAGTGTCTCAAACCCTGTCTCCTTGTTTCTTTACTTACAGAATGTCCTCCGTGGTTGCGAATATTTGTTACGAGTCGCAACGGGCTGAAAATGTCTCGATGCCATCCATCTCATTATCACGCCATTGGGGAATACACTTTACAGCCCCAGGATACGATAAATGATTTGAGAATATTTGTCAATTCGAGGTTTCAGTACCTACCCATGGCAGCTGATGACGATCAAGGAAGATTCCAAGCCAAAATCCTGGATATGGCTAATGGGTCCTTTCTATGGTTATCCCTCGTAATTCGGGAGCTCGAGACCACATTCTCCGAAGAAAGCGCAGAAAAGGTTATCAGTGAAACGCCTATAGAGATGCACAATGTCTACACGCGAATATTACAATACATACCTGCCCAGAGCCATAATTTGGTTCGGTCCATCTTTACCTGGACGTCGCTAGCGATGAGGCCGCTTTCCGTAGAAGAGTTGAAGCATGCCATTAAGATCGACACCGGTGAAACAGTTCACAGATTGGAAGATGCTATCAACACCAATTGCGGACAACTCATTAAAGTTGGCCGAGGACATGAAGTTCAATGTGTTCACCAAATTGCTCGAGCATTCTTGTTGGAGCAGGAAGAAATTTCGCCCTTTGTCATACACAGGCCTACAAGCCAATTGCGGATCGCAGAGCTCTGCCTAAAGGCATTAAGCAACTTCATCGACAATGCGCCCGGCAGACGAGGATCAGACGCACGTTCTCTGCCAGTCACTGCAGAGAGCAACATTGCTGACTATGCCGCAATTTATTTTTCTGACCATTTGAATGATTGCGCTATAGGAGACCCCAGCATATGGGATTTACTCCTGAAGTTTATGAAGTGTACTGCATTACCCTGGATTCAGTACCTCGCTGAGACAAGGAGACTACAGTATGTCATGCACAGCGCAAGGAACATGGCCTCATATTTGGCATGCAACAGTAAAAAGACGCCTATACCAAACGAGAAAAAGAAGCAGCTACGGAAGTGGATACACGACTTGCTAAGAGTGAATGCCAGATTTCGGGTAGCCTTGGACACTTGCCCTTCAGCAATCTATACAGTCATCCCATCACTCTGCCCTTCGGAGTCAATGATATGGAGACAATACACCTCGCGTCCTCGTGGCATCATACTCAAAGGCCTTGAAGATGATGGCTGGAGTGAATGCATGTCTCGAATTGATTATGGTACCTCACGGACGACTGCAATCGCCCATGGAAATTTTCACTTTGCTGTTTCGTTGTCCGATGGAAGTATCACTCTTTATCTTTGGGAATCACTGGAAAAGAAGGCCATTTTCACCCACGAAGAGCGAGTGACAATACTTAAATTTAGTGATGATGACCAGTACTTGGCCACCAGTGGCCGGCGCAAAATCAAAGTCTGGGATTTGCAGACATTAAGACAAGTGCGAACTTATGATGTCCCGCTCCAACCTCTAAAAGTCACATTTCATGAGAATAGCAGTGTTTTAGTGGCCGCTACTCGAGGAAATTACACAACTTCTTGGATTCTTGAAGACGAAGAAAGCTTGGGAGACACTCGTCCATGGACCCAGCGTTTCCAAGAAGTAACAGGACAGACCAAACCAACTCAGCCTCCAGCAATGGCTCTTTTGTCCAATGATGGCTCTTATCTTGCAGTCAGCTACAAAGGCCGACCGGTATATGTGTTTGAGATGACGACATCGTCTCTCGTTAAAGCCTGTTACAGAAACAGTAATATGGCCATCGAATACACTGTCGATGGCATGGTATTCAACCGAAATCACAATGTCCTGGTGGTCTCGTATGGCGATGGAGAGCTTGTGGTCTATGACCTGTATACTGCTGAGTTATGCTACCGCAGACAGAATGTCTATGCTCATACTCTCGCCTGTTCCCCAGATGGTCGCAAAATTGTCACTGGCAGCTCTCGTGGCACTTTGAGTATCTTTGAATTTACCGGGGCCCAAGGGACAAGCCTAGCACTCATACATCGCATCAATTCGTCTGAAGATGATATCCGCGGGATTTCATTCAGTGCCGACAGCCTGCGGTTCGCTGATATCCGTGGTGCTCAGTGCCGAGTATGGGGACCGGAAATTCTGATTGGGGTAGAGTACGAAGATGATAGTGAAAGCGACTTCAGTCAAGCAAGGACCCTTGAGACTACTTTAAATCATATGGAACGAGCCGCGGACGTTCAAATAACAGCTATCTGCCCGCACCCAGATGGAAGGTACCTCTTCTGTGGTAAGGAAGATGGATCCGTCATGTGCTTCGACGGACAAACCATGCGACAGAAAGAAGTGTGTCGGCACGCTCTGGGTACTATGATAACCTGCGTGGGATACTGCAGAAGAGGCGGGCTCCTTGTCACAGCAGACGAGTCCAGTCGCATCCTTGTGTCCAGAATAGAGCCCAAAGCGGATGGAGATGAGCTGATTACTGCTGTGAACGAAATACGATCCGGTGAGCCTGTATTGGATCTGCTGTTCAACACGAGCGGAACAAAGGTCCTGATTGAGGGCAGACACTGGGTCAAGGTGTGGACGTTGTCTGGAGACCAGGTTGACTTTCATCTCCGTCTAGATGACTTTAGCCATGACCACGAAATTCTTCAGCACCCTCAGCGTCCAGACTCTTTCTTGGTTATAGGTGCCGGTCAAGCCTATGTGTACATGTGGGACCGTCCTGAAGACCCGACGGGTGAAAAGTGTCTGAAGGAAAAGCCACTTAATGATGATAGAAACGATGGAATAGCTTCACGGCTTGACACCTTGAATAAAACTGGAAGACCAATGAGTGCTGGGAAATTCGTTGCTACGATCGGCGAAAAACATGCACATAAGAAGGCTCCACAGTCCAAGTTGAGAGTTTGGGAAGCAACTGAACTCCACCCGGACAACGAATGGCCCAATGAATATCCTCTTCCAGACTTCCAGAATATATCCAGCAGAATACATCAGATTATCGGCGTCTAGGGGGGCCTAATTCTGTTTGTGGATAGCGACTTCTGGGTTTGTACTGTTGATCTGGCTCAATGGAATACCAACAGGCAGGGCGCATGGCGGCATTTCTTACTTTTATCAGAGTGGAGAGGAAGCAACGCAAACTTTCTTATTGAGTATCTACCCGCCACCCGCGACTTTATGGTCGTACAGAGGCATAACGTGCTTGTTATCAAGCGCGGGCTCAATGTTGCGGTGCCGTTGGAATGGCCTGCAGCACTTGGTAGCGTTACCTCGGAATAAAATAGACAAGCCAGAACGCGAAATAAAAGCTTAAAATGCAGTATCCTGCTACCCTGCAATTGACGAAACGGAATTATGTCCACGAACACTGTGAGAATACGTGGCTTTTATCTGTTTTCCAGCTGTCGGCTAGTCATCCGTCCTTCACACACCATAGGTCTGGAGGAAGAACGCATTTCTTGGCTCATTTGCCTGCATGCCTTCGCTTCTAGTCTAGAGATAGCATAAATAAGGCAGACATAGATTTCCGGATGATTATTGGCCATACCTCCCTGTCAGGGCACAGGCTGATATGCCGGCTCCGATCCCGATTCCGTTTCCGGCCATGAGTCCGACCCGGTTCCTCCGACAGCAATGCTGATTGGCCCGGTCGAGGTCGGTTCTATCTTTATTGCCATCTGTTGTTGGTACTTTCTCTGGATCCTTGTCCTGCTACTCTTCAAGGACCTAGCACTGACAGTTTTATAATCTGTCTGTTTCCTTTACAGATGGACCAGCTCAAATTCTTTTGTCACTTCCTTCCATGGTGGTCTGACGCGGTATTCCTTGGTCTCTTACTGAAGTGAGATGCACCGACAACATCGGAGGCGACATGCCTGCGCCAGGTGCATTCAACTCAAGGTTAAATGTGTCCCAACCCGAGATTCAGTCCTAGGTACACCGAGTTGCGAACGTTGTATGCGGCTCTCCCAGCCTTGTATAGCCCCACAGACTCACGGGACTGGCAATTACAGGTCAGCCTCATCACATTTTCAGGGCACTATTTGAGGCTGACGCTCTGTTGAAAAGTAGGAAAAGTCGCATTGACACCATGCAGGAGCAAGTAGACAGTTTAGTCACTCAGGTGGCATTAATGAAGGTACTTGCTCCAATCCTCGGTAGTGGACCAACCTATTGAATTATCCTTACCAGAGAAGTAGTAATGACAACCTACCTTTTCGAACACCAAAACCTCAATTCCACCTCAGCAAAGACGATTCAGGCTATAGCAATCATCATGGGTTACCTGCTGGTAACTCACCATCAGGGATGCATGCAGAAATGGACTTTATCTCTCGTGGGCTTTTCACTCTCCTAGAATGTGAAGAGCGTTTGGCAAAGTTTCGCTTGCATAAGATGCCCCTGTTTCCCTTCGTCATGATCCCCACTCAGCTGGGTGTTCCAACACTTCGGCAGCAATCTCCCTTTCTCCTGCTGTGCATCGTGACCGCCTGCCTGGAGCACAAACCATCGTTACAACTAAAGATGGAACAAGAAGTCAGGAGGTCCATCGCCACTCGCTTGGTAGCCAACTTGGAGAGGAGCTTGGATCTGCTCTTAGGACTTTTGGTCCATGTTGCCTGGAGTTATTATCACTGGCCTATCTGTGATTCCCGGTGTTCTATGTTTCTGCAAATGGCGGTCATGATTGTTGGGGATCTAGGCCTGGACAAAGGAGACTTAAAGATGCAGGCTTCTCCGTTTAACAGCCAGGTTGCTAACCAGGTAGAGATTGATAGCGCTTGCTGGACCTCGGCGGCACAGCGGGCTCTTCTCGGATGCTATTATCTTTCTTCGAGGTGAGTTAATAGGACGTCCCTTCTTCCGGGAATTAGAAGCTTACATTCATGACATCCATAACAGGTCACTGTTCTTTCGAGGACAGCTAGTCATGAAATATACTGATTGGGTTAAAAGGTGCACTGAGATGCTTGAACTAAAGGCAGAATACCCTACCGATGTAGTGCTCGGGGTATATACAAAGGAGTATACACGCTTCAGGACTGATTGGTCGCCTGTTGGGAAGCATTTCTTGGGAGCAGATGAGAGCATGGCCTGGTGGAAGCTATCTGACTCCCTCGCACTGCAACAAAAGCATACAGAGGAACTTCTCCGTAACCAAAATCTCTGGGACAACCGTGAGTCATCCCCTAAAAATATACTGCTGTGTCAGGCACTAACATCTACCAGGGGCTGTGCGCCTAGAGCTTAGTGCAACATCAATACTAGTTCTTGGACGGCACCACTGCACTCCCTACTGTGATCTACAGCAGCTTCAAGCATTATCCTCGTCAGCATACAATACTATCAACATGTTTCTTGCAATACCATTACCAGCGCTCGTTCACCTGCCTGCTTCATCATACAATATGTTTTGGTACAGCCTTCTGCTTCTCTCCAAGCTTCACCTGCTATTCCATGCGCAGTTTGACAACCCTGGAATCCAAAGACATGACATACACACCCTCGGACTTGCCCTGGTGAAGAAAATGGAAGGTAATCAGAAGATGACGCTTTGTCAAATTGCGAAAAGATATTGAGAAGCATGTTGGTTTGGCTGGAGAATACAACGTGTGAGCAGCAGCAAGGGAAGATTGACCTCTCAACACAGGGATCAGTATATGAGCACAAAAGTACTAGGTTGCATCATCTCGGTCCCAATGCTTTGCGGGGGCACGCAAAAGAAGTGACAAGTAGCCGAACTGGTACGTGTGGATGTCGTTCTCCGATCGCCACGCATGAATCACCTACAGTGTATCCAGGAAGTGAAAGAGAAGATCGCGAGATGACTTTGTGGGAGAATATGTTGGATGAGTTTGACTGGCACGAGGACCCATCCGGCTCCGATAGTAAGTGACAACATGGTGGCCGGTAAGGAATTAATGTAACTATAAGAAAGATACAACTACAGTTTGACACGATTTTCGATTGATTAGATTAGATACGAGTCAAGAGCTCCACAGCTCATCATTGGTTCAGTGACGGCACAGATCGGCGGAGTTCCCCTGCACACAGCGGAAGTGGGACACGTCGCCACTGCTCGAGCCAAACAATAGCTCTGGGGATGATCCGGTTCTCTGAGGAGAGTATGATGAATATTCGGTATTTAATGTACACGATGAACCGAGCGATCCGGTGGTTGATTCCTTCAAACGCCTTCAAAAGTCTGTGTCCAGGTGCATACTGACTGTTCCACATTATTCCCTTTTTCCACAACCAGATATTGAGCAACAGTTTCACGTGAAGCACTTGAAGGAGATTATTTCCGTAATGGCTACATGATATCCGACGTTTCACGGATTTAACCCTGGAGTGGCAGCGGGACGACGGGGATTCTGCACAAACCGGGGCCGCTGCCGATCCAACTGCTGATCTTAACCCCCGTTCCTGAACGACATATAGACATGGAACGACCCGTTGGAACTGTGTTCCTGGCCAGACCTCTTGCGCTTTAACCATCCACCATGCGTTATCTCTCCCTTCTATCCGCCCTCGCCGCCACCGCACTAGCCCAGACGCCCCCGGGAAGCTACCCATCCACCAACAAGAACTTTGGTGTCGCCTTTCCCAATGCCACCGTGACCCCTGGTACCTGGGTGACCCCGGATGGTTCATACTCCGCCCCTTATACAGTGTAAAATCCAAACTAACTCCAAGCGAAGACCTCACCAGCCAGCCAGCTATCTATGTCACCGAGAACCTGAACAAGGATGCCACCTACATGGTCGTGATGCTCGACCTCAACATCCCTGATTCTGATGTCACCACCGCCGCTTACTACGACACTCTCGTCCCCGGTTTGGCTGTCAACACCACCACCCGCCTGCACTGGTGGGGTGGCAACTACACTATCCAGAACGGACGCTTCGTTAACTCCAGTGATGCTATCTCCGAGTATACGGCTCCTCGTCCCCGCGACAGCACCAACCACACCTACACGTTGTATCTGTTTGATCAGCCCGAGGGATATGTGCCTTTTGAGGAGGCTGCGAACGGGACTTATTACTCGCAGACTGCTTTTGCGCGGTTCAACTTCACTCTGGAGCCGATTTTGAGGGCGGTTGGGGGGCCGGTTGCAGCTAATTATTTTTTGAGTGATGAGATCTAGACTGTCACACAGCCTGGATAGGTCATATATATGCTTTACGGTCAGCTCTTTGTGTATTAGTGTACCATACTCAGGATTGAATGATTACTATGCAGAAGAGTATAAGACTCAGTAACAGCCAAAAGGCACCAAGATAGGTGCAATATGACCATTACTTGATCCGCTAAGCATGGAAGAGACCTTGAATTGTTGACAGAATAAAATGATATGAGCCCTAATCCTCTCGATCAATATAGGGGAATATATTGGTACATGCGACACACTTAAAACTGAATCAACGGCGACATGATACTGCGTCCCACATTACCTACCTGTAGTGGTTCTATCAATTAAAGCTTATATATGATGTGCATTCTTAGCTCCAAGACTCAGATCTCTTATCTTCTACCAATTGGTGGAGCGGTTAGCTCAAGTGCACGACTGGCGTAATTACTCCTAAAGCGCACTAGGAGTGGGTTCCGACAGGTGTCAACACAGGGTTGAACGACTAGCTCAGACATGAAGTTATACCATGAATTGAAAAGCAAAGGCTACTATAATCTCTATTGGGGAGGACCATGAATATTTCATAGTTATGAGGTACATAAACATCCAAACTGTTATCTCAAGTTCACTAATCGAAAATACAGACCCTCAATTATGTGCCTCGGCAGAGTGGGGGCCACTAACTAACTAGCCTTGGCAGCCAAATAAATGCCCCTCCGTGAACCACCACCCATAATCATTTAGTTTAAACTCTACTACTTCTTTGATCATAAGGTGTCCCCGTCCCCAACTATCCCCATCTCACTAACTACCAACAAAGCCAAGGTCCACTTTGATAGGGTGTTTCGTCAATCCCACTGCTTACGCTGACACTCACAAGCATTCAACAAGGCTGAAAGCTACCCCTCAGCCAAACCCATCGTATATTTACCCCAATCTCACCCTACTTCCCCTTCCAAGTGCAACCGTCAATTCATTCTCAAACAAAATGGCATCCACCGTCTACCCCAACCTAGCCAAAAAAGCCACTCTCTCCGACGGCACCACCTACGGCTACGTCTTTGTCCCCGCCACGGACGGAAAACCCACCTTCCTATTCCTCCACGGCTACCCCTCTACCAGCTATGACTGGCGGCACCAGATCGCATTCCTGCAGGAGCGTGGATACGGTGTAATTGCGCCCGATTTGTTGGGTTATGGCGATACCGACAAGCCGACGGATCTGAAAGCGTATCGTCTGAAGGTGATGAGCCAGCAGGTGGTTGAGATTCTGGATCGCGAGAATGTCGATCGGGCGGTGCTGGTCGCGCATGATTGGTATGATGCCTGTCCTTCATTATATAAGTATGTCAATTGCATGAATGAATACTAACAGGGGCTTAAGGGGCGTCGGTCTCGCCTCCCGCGTGGCTTATTACTATCCCCAGCGGTTCTACGGGTTCGTGAGCATTGCCGTCGCGTATAATGCCCCTGGGCCGAAGTTCGATCTCGGTATGCGTCCTGTCTATTGCCCATATGAATATGACTATCGAGGATAGATTTCTGACAATGATAGACGGTCTCCTCAAACACACCGAGTCCCTCTTCGGATACCCCGTCTTCGGGTACTGGCTTTGGCATAATACCGTTGAAGCAGCTGATGAGATGGCAGCTCATGTACATCCATCCCTATCCTCACTCCTGAAGATATACTAACGAATCTACAGCCCCAATCCGCTTTCAACCTCATCTACCCGCAAGACCCAGCAATGTGGAAAACCGACCTCGCGCCCATCGGCAAAGCAGCCGAATGGGTCCGCTCTGGCAAAACCACCCCTCTCCCGTCCTGGCTCACCCAGGAAGACTACGATATCCATCATCGTGTCTTCTCAGAGGGTGGATATGCCGGTCCGTTGTCGTGGTATAAGGCTGCGATTCGCGGCATCAATACCGAAGATGAAGCGGGTATTGAAGGTGGAGTGGGGAAATGCACTGTGAAGAATCTGTATATTGCTGCTAAGCAGGACTATGTTTGTCGGATGGAGGTGGGGTCGCATATGACGACGACGAATGTGGTGGATTCGAGGATTGAGGTGGTGGATGCGGGTCATTGGGTGCAGTTGGAGAAGCCGGATGTTGTGAATGAGTTGTTGGTTGGGTTTGCGGAGGAGGTTACGAAGTAACTTTACTTTTACTTCTTATCGGGGGGAGTAGGTTCGGTGTATCTATCTATCTATCTAAAAATTATGTAAATGCTTGCAAACTATGATCATAATCAGGCATCACCCACTTCAATATCCATTCCGACTGCAACACCTCTTCAATGGTCAGTCTCTCTTCCGGCTTGAATCTCAACATCCCCCGCATCAGCTCCAAAATGGCAGCAGTCTCATCATCACCAAAATCCCCTACTCCACCCTGCCGTCGATAATCCCTCACTCCCTGCTCAAATGCTAGGTCCAAAACAGGCCATACCTCGCGGCCTTCCACTGGACGCCCATCTTCGTCAAAGAAATAGCTCCGCTCTTCCCATGCACTATACCACGTCTGCGGCATAGGCCCAAGAACATCAATCTGCTGAGACGTGACTTCATCCTCTGGCGCCTCGGTGCTGAAAATAGCCTTCATGCCCAGAATCTCCCACACAGCAGTAGCTAAACTCCAAATGTCCGCAGGGTACGACAGAGGCGCCTGGGGCTCAAACAGAGCCTCGGGTGGGCAGTAAGGCACAGGGGTGTGGCAATACTCTCCAGAGCGAGGGGATGAGACTGGGGAAAACGCCTCTCCGAAATCGCTCAAAAGAACGGGGGCGTCTTGCGATGTGAATTCCTCGGCTTTTTTTTTCCGAGGTAAAGAGGTAGCACTGCTTTCGGTGGAACATGGGGTGGAAGTGAGCCTCCATTGCGCTGTGTGACTGGCACCGTCTCGGGCTTTCCATATTGCTCGTAGAATTCCTCAGTAGAGGGACTGTCGAAGCTTGCTGGTAGCTTCACCAAGATGTTACGAAGATGGATATCTTGTCCTGTAAGCATTGACTTGAATAGCTGGGATTAGGGGATTGACTCTGAGCTTACCTCCGTGAACATAGCCTTGGGAGTGCATATAAGCGACAGCTAGTATAAGGCCCCCCGATAACGCACGAGCAACGTCAAGGGGGAAAAGACGGCTGAAAGAGACTTCTCTGAGGTTGCGTCGTGCGGGTGTCGTTGTATAGCATGGATGCGTCCCGTTGGGACCAGTCACCTCGAATTCATCTAACGGTACTGGGATGGAGTCGAGGCCCGCGCGAACAGACGATGGCACTGAAGTGGGCTCCGAAAGAGCCCGCAAGATCTTAGTTTCATGCGGAAGGGAATTTGCTATGCCTACTTTGACAGCGACGTAGCGTTTCAGGTGGGTGTCGCGGGCGAGCCATACGGTCGAGTATCCCCCGTATCCGAGCTTGTCGACGATGCGATATCGGTCATGTAGTAGATCCCCTACCATGACGGGATGGTAGCCTCCGGGTCTATATTTTTCGAGAGACTCGGCGCCGTCAATCCAGTTGTACTTGAGGTATGATTCGCTTGATGAGTTGTTACTGCCTGACGTCATACTTGAATAGTGGGAGCGGAATTTTGAGATATATTGAAGCTTTTGATATACTGTGAAGAGAGCTTTGCTTGGTTCTGACTGGTTCATGTTATATTTGGGGAGTTGGTATTGGGGTTTGGGGGTTGTTGTGTACGAGGCTGTGTGGTGACGCGTAATGGGAACGGGTGTAGGCCGTTTGACGCGATGGATGGGGCGTTGGTGGCGGAGTAGACGCCATTGTGAGGGCTTTGGTATTACTCGAGAGATAGTTAGCATTGAATAACGCGTCGTGTCTGATGGTGAGGGATGGTGTTGAAGTGGTTGTCGGTTGTTGTTATGTATGGAGCCGTGATGCGGCAGATCTACAAGGGGTCGTCGATCCTTGTGTCACCTGTCACTCCGTGGACATAGAATGGTCTTCAGTAAGTAATAATAAATGTGATAGGCGACAAATCTTCTACTAGGATATGCAAGTCTCACACATACTCTAATAACGTCCAAGTGATCTGCCTCGATGATCAAAAGTGCAATTCCAACCCCACATCATCCCCCTCTCTGTAGAGTTGATCATCATGACCATCAACCAAAAAATCAACATTGGAATCACCTCTTCGTCTCCCTCACCTCCCCCAACACCACAATCCCCAACTTCCCCCGATCCGACCATCCATGCTCATCCTCCTGAATTGCTCTCGCAATCTCCGGCTCTCCCAGTTTCGCCTGAAACCGCTCGAACGCAGCCTCGTCCTCGAAAGTCAGTTCCGCTATGGCGTCGAATGAGAAGTCACTCTGTCGTCCAAGTAGCACGGTCGTAGGATATGTTCCCTCTGAATATGGAGTAGTAGGACGATCAATATAGCTTCGTCGATGGGAGAGAGGAAAATCAGGACCCGTAAGACGCTTGACTAGTTCGATGTGCGCTTCTAGACGGGATTTGAAAGTTGAAGGGGAGGTATCTGGGAGGCGAGTTGCCTTGAGGAGGATCTTGAATGGCATTCGAATTTCCTTGCTGTGTTTCTTGGCTTTATTGTTTGAACTGGTTCTGATTCTTGGTTTGGGGTGTGGAACTGGGTTGGTGACGGGGGGATTGATGGGTTGATGGGTCGGTGGGTGGAGATTTCCCCTTCTCCATGTAAGGGGCATGGACAATACGTAGTCCGTTGCTTGGCGGGTTTGTTACATTTTATGCTGACTAGACAGCAGGATAATAGTATATGTACAAGTATGAAATTTCCTGTCTAAAGGTACTGCAGTTAATGCACATGAAAGTTTTCTAAAGTATAGGTCACATGTGGACAATAAGATAAGCAAGTGAGTGTAAGAAAGCGTAAGCAAGATTTGTGAATGAAGGTAAGAAGGTAACATAGCAAGAGAATGTGTGAAGCATCGTACAGAAACAAGAGAGTGTGTGGAGGCATCGTACAGAAAAAGGAGGACAACAAGTCCAAGATTGGCAGCAAGGCTCAGCTCATGCTCGAGTTTGATCAATTAATAGCAGCCCCGCTAATAAGCAGGAGTCGCTTTAGGCATAACCATCATGGTGGACGGGGTATAGGCAGGAACTCCTGGTGTGCGAGAAGGCGTCGCCGCACTAGAGGCGCAGGAGCTAGATGTCTGGCTGGATGACCACAGCGCATTATCCGCCACACCACCATACAAAATTTGCCACACAGGTTTGTTGCAGGCGTTCTCGTTGTACTGGAACAGCCAGTTGTTTTCACCATCCGTGCCAGTGGGCGTGTAGTAGTATTCAGCCGGCTCAGAAGTCAGCCCAAGAGCTTGGTTGACTGTTGATGCGATGCGCGAGATTTGAGACGCGTACTTTGCGCCTTGTCCGTTGGCGGCAACAGGCGTGCCAATGTAAATCTCAGTGCCAGGGTCGGGGTACGCGGCGGAGCCGGTGAGCTGTGGCAGCTTGAGGTTCACGTCGTTCGTCAGGTAGCTGATGATGTTGGTCTGGAATGCCTGCTCGTTGAAGGCGACAGTGCCGTTCTGGCTCGACACAAATCCGGGGGATTCCCACAGGTGCGCCTCGTACACAGCGTACTTGGAGACAACGTAGAGAACAGTACATCCGCGAACATTGGCCTGGGAAAGGCTGCTTGTACCGCTGCCAAAAACAACGGATGTGGATGTAGTTACGCCGCTAGTGCTCTTAGCAAGGGGCTGTGCGGTCTGCATCTGGGTGGACATCCAGGTGAGGAAGCTGGAGGCCCTTTGAGTCAGCCCTCTGCTGAATAGACCGGACCGTCTAAATGACGTGCTTGAGGTATCGGTCGTGTCAGTTGACAGGCATTCAGTGCATTGCGGGCTGCACAGTTCCGAGACAGCTGCGCTTGAGCTGGCAGCTGGAGAAGCGGAGGATGAAGTGGCAGGCGAGGTAGTGGTAGCTGAGCCATCATCAGAGTCACCAGAATCATCTCCGGTATCGTCTCCAGTGCCGTCGCCAGTGTCGTCGCCAGTATCATCACCAGACTCGTCACCAGAGTCGTCTCCGGTATCGTCTCCGGTATCGTCTCCAGTGTCATCACCAGTATCTTCGCCAGTGTCATCGCCGGAGTCATCTCCAGACTCATCGCCGGTATCGTCTCCAGTGTCATCGCCAGAATCGTCGCCAGAGTCGTCACCAGTGTCGTCACCAGTGTCATCTCCGGTATCATC